CAATCGTTCGATGGGCTGAATTGCACAAAACGCATGATCGCACCAGCTAGTCTGGTGCGCGTTGCCTTTTATTTATTGTTTGAACTGCTCTCTTAAACTGAAGATCCGAGACTCAACCCAGCAGTGGAATAATATTCATCTATTTGCTTCCACATATTAGGGCATTCAGTCTGCTGCTAGGTAACCCTCGGAAGAAAAACCCGCCGTCAGTGTTATAAGCAGGTGGTTGCTTTTGGTAAGTACCATTACTCGAGTTATTTGTGAGTACCTTCGCCACCCACATGCAGTTAATTATGAAGAAATTTAGATCCGTATGCGTTTTCGCATATATGCAAATGCAAAAACGCATATTGTGACGGTCCATGGTGTGCGTGTGTGTATATATTTGTATGTGCGTGTATGCGTGAGTGCGTTTTCTAGGTATTTCAGCTCAGCAACCAAGCAAGCTCCAGTGCTAAAATTCTGCCGGTGAGTTCGCCCGCCAAGTGTCACCCCAGGACTGCGATGTCAATCTTCACGCACGACTAAACTCCGCGCATAAGCACATGAAAGTTTTGGTGAGAACATCGCTAACTCGGGGACCAGAAAAGCTGAAAGGCTGAAATTTTAAGAAATGTTTCCAGCCCAAGGGCAGCTTAAAGATATCAAATTCACTCCCCACATGTGCGTGGTTCTCCCGCACAGGCCCATTCAAATTTCTGGCGGAAAAATCGCCAACTTGAGAACCTTTCTGGTTTTAGTGGAATATTCACTCTTCACGCACCAAGTCGTTGCACAATTAACTTTCTGAACTTTTGGGACCAGTACGTTACAAACTCTACTGCTGGAATTCCAAGCGATCCTACTACATCACAAAATGGTGCAAAAACGCACAGTCACAAGGACCCGCCTGGTGCGCGTCCCCCATGATTATTCAGCTGATTGCTCATCAATTTCTTTTTTTTAAAAACAGAATTTACTCAGCACACACAGCTACAAGTCTGAAATGGATAAGTTTGTTACGCAAATTGTATACTTACAACAAGTCCTTTTAATGTATCTCTTTGGTCAACATCGATATTATTTTCGTCGCGTTCATCCGGAATTTCAATATCTTTGATTGAAACTCTGATCCAGTGCTCATCTGGAGCAATTAGAGTCCACTCAATCGGCGAGAACTCCGTCAAGCGCCAATCATCTGCTGCTGGTGAGCTTACTGCTGAACCACTCACAACTCCACCGAACACTATAAATGGATCAAGTATCGCCAAAGGCACTACGACACACTTCTTTTTAGACACTGTATAATCAAAGCAATTTTTATAAAGACGAATCGCATTTTATTACTTTGACTTGCTGCTCTGTGTTGAAAAAATCCGGGAAGCTTATCTCGGAAAAAAATTTTGCTGCGTAATTAATGTATGCTGCATTCCAACTACGCTGAGAGCTCAGCAGTGACTGTTTGGCCAATTATCATTTATACACTTTTCTATCAGCAAATTGTTAATAACCCGTTAATTGAAATTTCTTTCTGTTGTGTCCCTGCAACGCATTAAAAATTCTTAATTATGAAATGACTGAAAAGAGGGCTTACATTTTTTGAATTTGATCATAAGTTCGGGCTTCAGCGGCTCAATATCGCTAGTGTCATCCTCTTCCTCGTTGATATATCGCAAACGCAGCCAAAACGACTGACTCTTAAACAGTTTTTTCATTTCGTGCTATGTATCGTGTCATTTTCAATTCTGGAATTCTCGCTGAAAAAGACAGCGAGACGTACCACAAGACTAACAGGACGTAAGGTGTTATGGGTGCACGGTGGCTATAATTTGAAAGAGAGGGCCAGCTCAAAACTAAGCAACGTGGCTTACAGTCATTGTCGGCTGGGCACTTTCAAAGGAGCACGCTCGTGTTGCAATCTTCCCACTGCTATTGTTCTCACGGATTTCCAGATAGGATTCAGCGCAGTACTCCGAAAAAGGCAATTTCAGCGCGCTGAAATTTCGATGAAATTAATATGTGATTTGGCAGCAGTTCCAGATTGGACTTATGCAATAAAAGCGCTTTGTAGAAAAGTAAAAATTTCAAAAGCAGCTTCCTGCTCTTACAATAAGTTGAAGGTGCAGTAAAAAGTACAAGATCTCCAGTTCTACTTTATTGCCTTCAGTGTTTTCAATAAACCACTCGCATTCGACATCACTTTCGATGAACGGGTAATAGAGCACACCACCAATCGAATGAATCGTACCACCACAACCTGCAGTTTGAGTGAGCTTGTGCGTCAGACATGCCCTCTGCTGCAGGAATAACAGCGTGAATTCACAAACAGCTAAGCAGTATACAAACTAACTCTCAATTCGTGTCGAATAGGAGAAATGCACGCGTTCCAACTGAAAAGTGTTTAGTCCTCTCAAATGCACGCTCATTGCACTTCCGGTGGAACGTAACTCTCGGTTCGAGCAAATTCTTGACGCTCGTTCTATACTCGAAGGATTACACTCTGGATGGAATCTGCAAATGGTTCGAACAACGGAACTGTGAAAAAAAATCTGCCCAACGTTTCATGGTCAATAACAGGCACCGTTCAGTTTAGAATTCTTGACGTCTGCGTATTTATAAAAATCTCGTAACGGATGCCTCTGCTGTCAAATGTATCTATGCTGTAACGCAGTACAGGCACTCTCATGCAGTCAAAATTGAGCGATCTATCGGTAAAAAATTTTGGATAAATTGTGTACTCACCAGTGAAGCAAAATTATGGGCAACTGCCCAACTTTTTTTTTGACCTGTACATTTCCAAAGACGACTTTTCTGCGCAGCACATTCTTGCAATACATCCGGCTGATCGCATCTTTCATACAAGACCAAACACACATTAATTATAAAGAACCACTCACATTCCAAGAGCAGCAGCACCCTCTTGTGCACCGTCATAAACAGCAATCGTGGCAGCTGATTTTCCTCTGGCCTTTGAGGCTCTGCGTTGGTTGAACTGCAGCTGGTCAAGGCGCAGGTACACGTGCTGACCGTCTAAATCAGTCACATAATTCCGAAATGCGAAAGAAATCCTACTACTGGATTCTGTGGAGCAAAAAAGAATTTTTATTTCCTTTAAAACAGTTGTGTCGAAAGTAATGGCTTTGGCCCAGAACACAAAACATCAAGCGCTTTCACTTAAAAAAAAAAAAATGCAAAAGTAGGACCATCGGCTCTAATCGTAAATCGGCATTCGTCCTCCTTGAAAGCATGCAGCTGGAAAGTCTTCAATTCGTTTTCAGCGTACAGCGTTCCGCCACATGCCAACGATATGAATAGCACAAAACCAACGTTGTGAGTGCGCTCGTCATCCCCTGACAAATAGGCCCGTTCATATGGGCCACCTTGAAATGTGACCAGGGCCTAGAATTAATTTGCTTAAGGCTGGCCGAAGAACTTCAGCCACACGCGTAAAAAACGACCGATTCTTAATTATGGGGTACCTGCTCTGTCCGCGATGTAACAATTTTCGGCTGCTTTAAATTGTGACAAAATCGCTCCAGCATTTCTGCTTCTCTAAAACACTTCTTAAATAAGGTGAAATCATACATGATGGTGCAAAGATGGGGAAGGGTATTTGTTGCCGTGTTAACTACTCAGAGTCACAAAATGAGTAATAGTTTGAAGTTTTTATTTTGTACAAATGCAAGCAAATAAAAGGGTAGGAAGTGGACAAACTTATGTAGCTAGTTTGTGGCCACCAAATGATGCAGCATTGATCAGAGCAACTAAAATAGTTGCTAGCTGCATAGTTGGAGAACCAAGCTTTCAATCACAACTGTCCAAAGTAACGAGATAATTTATGATCAGTTCGGTGAAATGCACTGCACTGTAAGACGTGGCCCGCGTCAAGCTTGAATAAATCGCTTACGTATTATTGCCATCATAAAAGGTGATAGATCCTTCCAGAAAGCTCTGCGAATTCTGGCACCTAAATGCATGAATGTTCTTATAAAAGAAGCAAGAAAAATAAATTATATGGGAATGCACTTCGGCGAGATTACCATTCATGACGCAATATTTACGGGCCATCATAACAGTTTAAACTAAGAATGCAGCATTACACTTTTTCGAAAGTAACAAGATTTTCAATCCAGCTTGGGAAATTTGTAAGAGAGGCTGTGAGAAACTTGGGCGACATGGAGTCGTCCAAAAGTAAAATTCTCATTTGTAAGTGGCAGCTTACGCGTAAATTTAAAAAAAAAA